GTGAGTTAAAATGATATCATGGAGATAAGTAAAATACTTCAACTTATAAATGTGTGTACATATGAATGTGTACATAGACATAAAGTTAAACTTTTGATAATTTAGGCACTTTGTTATTAGGAACATAAAGTAATGTGGGGAGTTGCATAACCTTTGTTGCCTAGGTTGTGGCAGAGCTAGTGACCGGTAATGCGAAGTTTGGGTGGTCAGCTATGTCCTCATCTAGGGAGACGTGGACCTGGAGAAATCTTCAAGAGTTTATGGATACCGTCAAGTGGAAGGTTCCTGCTTCAGTGGACATTCTCCTCCCTCCCCCTCCTCTTTTTCTTCCTCCTTCTGCTCCTTCTGCTTCTTCTGCTTCTCCTTTTGCTTCTGCTGCTGCTGCTTCTCTTTTTCCTCTGTTTCTCTATCCTGCTCAAGAAGATTAAGCTCCCCAAGGGAAGAAATTTCTGTCTGTTTTTGTTCCTTACTATATCCCTGGCACCCCAAACAGCTCCTAATACATGGTGGGTCCTCATTAATATTCACCGAATGATTAGATCATGCTCCTGTGGTCCAAGAGCCATAAATGGCCCTTCTAACATGGTGAGATTGCGAGGGATGGAAATCGGAAATCATCGAGTTCTCTAATATCTGAAGCTCTTGACCACACCACAGTCAATAAACAGAAATGACTGTGGACAAGGTATGTGAAAAATACTTTGTAAATGGCAAAGCGTTCTTTACATTCATTGTCATTATTACTTAGGATGGTGACTGATGATCTTTGGTCTAAAATTCCCATGAATTCCTAATATGGCCACTCCTTTCACTAACCCACGAAGGTTTCGCCTGGTAAAGTCTACCTAGTCTTTAAGACTCACTCAGCACCACCTCTTTCACGACTACTCCCCTGTGCCTCCTAAGTAAATGTTCACAGAACTGTTGTACCTTTCACAGTACTTCTTGTCTATCTTGTATTTAATAGGTTATGTCTAACTTTCTGCTTAGTAGATGTTTAGATCTTATTCTGCTTATTTCTCCATAAAAGATACTAACAGCAATTTATTCAATTGTATTAAGAAGTCGTATCTTTCCGGAAAAATCAAGAAAATTTCTGTAAATTCTGAGGAGAAGGTTGTGATCAGAAATTGTAAGCAGGAAAACTTTTCCAAGCAAAATTTGCAAGAGAACCAAAAATTACTATAGGTGCTAGAAGGTTCACTTTCTGGTTGCTTCAGGCCCAGTTTCTTGCCATTTCACCTATCTACTGAAAGCTATTTGTGAATTTATAGATGAAATGAAATTTATGGTGCTGAAATTATGTACAGAGGTTTTAATTCTTTCTTTCTTTTATTCAAGACATTTACTCTATATTTTCTGTGTGGCAAGCTCTGGTATGCAGAGGTAAATAAGACAGAAACAAAGCTTTCAGAATTCTCTGGTCTCTAGAATAACCAAGGCACAGGCACTTTATGGAAATATCTCAAGAATCCTAGCAAATAATTTCTTTGTGTAATAATAACCAGCATAAAGGATCATGCTTGTATAACACTTTATTCTCTGCTGAGCATTGCTAGTCTTAACTCATTTTGCTTCTCCCTCTTCCCAAGTGTCTAGCACAGCCCTGGATATCTGTAAAGACCTAGATAAATACACAATAAACTGAATTGAAATACCTGACTTAATCACTGTTTTTGAAGCCAAGTGTCTAAAGCAAGAATTGTAAGTAGCAATGTTTTAAAATAATTTGGATCTGAGTGCCTTTGGCAAGTAATGCAGAGTTTGCCCCAGGCCCTGCTACTCCCTATTGTATGATCACACATTTTACTGTCTACCAGTTCCTACAGGCATTTGAGATTTTGGGGAATCTTAACAAAAGTAGCTCTGTTTTTAGAGGTGGATCAGAAATCTTTCAGTATTCAATATCTAAACCATCTAGACATAGGTAGACAATCTGTAGCCTTCAATTTAACTTAAATTCAAATTGAATCTCAACTTTTTAGTCAATAAACACTGAGCTCCCATTTTTTGCAAGTCTTTGCATTAGACTGTGGAGAATCAATAGAAGGATTCATCTAAGAAAGGATTCCTGCCCTTAAAGACATTATAACATAGTCAGAAGTTTAAGACTCATACATACGAAAAATACTAAGAAGTGGTGTAAAATATTTTGCATGACGATGCAAAAACCCTGGAAGCTGACTGGAAGAAGGGAGACTTCTCAGATGGATGGGATTTGAAATGAGTCTTTGAAGCACAGGTAGAAATTGGAGAGTTGGAACAACTCTTGAGGGCATTGCAGATGAGCCAGGAGCAAAGTTTTAGAGGTGCAAACACACAGGGCATGTTAAGGAAGACAATGAACAGCATAACCTGGCTGGAAATAAGTTTGGGACAAGAATGTTGAGAGCTTAGTGCCAGGTAGAGCTGCCAATAAAAAACAGTGACAGTCACTCAAAAACTGAGTGACAATAACAAAGAAGTCTGAAAAGATTAAATCTGAGTTTGTTTTTTTCAGTATATAATAGAGGGAGAGTGGAATTGGAGGCCAGCTACTTGATTAGGGGGTCACAGTGTTCATCCAGATGTTTGGTAAAGCATCTGATTTAGGATCAGAAGAGGGAAGAAAGGGAGAGGAAGGAGAAACTTCCTGTCAATAAGATAACTGACAGGACAACTGACAAAACAATTGACAAGTGATTAGTCACATGGGAAAGAAACAGAAGCAACAAGTTGACTGTGGTTTTGAGGTCAGACTATCAAAACAATATTGATGTCATTGGGTGGGGGTGGGGGGGAGGAAATATAAGATCAAGAGCTGATTTTTTTTTTTTTTGCGGTACGCGGGCCTCTCACTGTTGTGGCCTCTCCTGTTGCGGAGCACAGGCTCCAGGCGCGCAGGCTCCAGGTGCGCAGGCTCAGCAGCCATGGCTCATGGGCCAGCTGCTCCACGGCATGTGGGATATTCCCGGACCGGGGCACGAACCCGTGTCCCCTGCATCGGCAGGCGGACTCTCAACCACTGCGCCACCAGGGAAGCCCAAGAGCTGATTTTTAAAGGGAAGATGATGAGTTAGGTTTGAGTCATGAAGTAATGCAAGGCAGTGAAGAAAAATGTAGGTCTGGAGTGTGGAACACAATTTGGGACTAGAGATAAAGATAAAGAAGTTATTTGTAATAAAATGTTAGTTGACTTTGGGGAATGAATTAACTCTCTGAGGGGGAGAGTATAAAAAGAGAGGTTTGAAAGAAAAGATCTGAACTCTGAGGAATGCCCCAAAATTTGGAGAGCAGGAGTAAGAGACCAGAGACAAAAGCAGAGAAGAAATGATCCTAAGAATGAAAAGCTTCCCCATCACAATATCTCAGAGCCAAGGGAGGAAATCCCAAGAAGCAGAAGTGGTTGACAATAGACAGGTCGGGAGACTAAGAACTGGGAATCAGCCCCAGGGTTATTAGAGAGGGCTGGAGGGCATTGAGGTGATTGGGGCTGGATAACCTTTCAGATTGCTTTACCTATCCTGGAATTCTGTTAGTTGATTTGAAGATTAGGGGAACACAACATGAGAGAGCCCCACAGCAGTAGAGCAGCGTGGGACATGAGGAGGTCAGGCTGCAGTTGCCTCATTACAGGGTAACCCAAGTATGCTACAGTTAAGTCATGTGGTATATTTGAACGTTGCCATGTGGAATAAAAATTACACACAACAACCTATGGATCACTGTCCGATGCATCTTAAAGAAAGTCAGCTCTGAAGCATGATCCCTAATACTGTCCCGGAGAAATCTGCATCACCTCCATCAGCCCCAATGTCTGCTGTATATTATGCAAATATCCCACATCTGGTGATTCACCAGCCACTTCATCAAATCAATTAATTCAACAACTCAACAAGCACCCAATGAGCACCCATGCATATTGTGAGGCACTGTGAGGGGTACTTGGGATTCAGAGAACCTAAAAGGTGTGGTCTTTGCCTATGAGGAGCTGCAGTTTAATGGAAAGGCTCACAGAAGAAATCTGAGAAGACACGTTGAAGAGTGGGAAAGGAACATCCTGCTGATGGTGAGAGTTCAGGTAATAAAGGCAAATAGACCAGTTCCATGTGGCAAGAGATAAGATTTCATCTATTCATAGAATCTTAGGCTTCAAAGGGAGCTTAAAAAACATCCAGCTCAATTGGCATTTGACTCCTGCTACAACTGTCTGATTACTGCTCACACTGAATATTCTTACTGTACATTTTTGTCAATGTATGTTAATCACTCCCTTCCACAGAACCACAGAATTTCAGGGTCACAAGACCTTATTTGTAGGTAATTTCATTCAAGTTTCACCTCCTCACTTCAACCCTTTCTCACATAAATCCATCGTCATCACTTTTCTACTATGTGCACCTGGACAGTGACCAATAAATAGCAATAGTTGCAGTTTTCCTTCATTTTGCTAAACATTCTTTCATCATTTTATGTAGAATATTAAGCATTTTAGGCCCAAATCACGCTTTTGTTAAATAATGGTTGCCTATATTATAAGTTAATGTAATTATAGTTTTTGTTGTTTTTTTTTAACAGCTTACACTTGAATATAGCTTGTAAACACAGGCTAGCCTGGAATGTTGACTGCCTGCCAAAGGGATAATCACAAACAGGTGTTTGATGTAAAAATCCAAATTTTTAAGTTCCATTAACCCTCCAAAATTCTAAGCAGAGAGACAACTTCAGGAGTAAATTTTTTTTGGTGCAGATTTATTTTGTGCAGAAAAAAAAATAACTCACCTCATAAAACTGCTCAAGAAGAATAATAAGCATAGGACCAGCAAGAGAAATCCTACTATTTTGAGGACAGGAGGAAATTAGCTTGTTTGTGTACCTGAGCACAATTTCTGAGGCAGTTTCCCCTGCCTCCAATGGTGTGCAGAGAAAATGTGCCCATGCTTACCCAACTATGGCACCCTCATCATGGTCTACAACACCAACTCAAAGTATGAGAAAATCTCAACCCACTTGATACTCACATCAGGCCTTGGCACGGCTCCTCAGGCAAAGACGCAAAAGAAAATAAAACAACAAACAGTTGCTCTTTGTCAGATTCCCTCATAGAAGCCAACAAAACAAACAGCCAAAACAAAAACAAAACCTAGGTTGCTGCCGAGACCAATGCAACAAGTAGTAGCTCCAACCCAGGGTTCTTTTTAGCTGGCAGAGGGACGCACGAGGATGGATAACAGAAAACTGTGGGGATAAAGTACACTGAGCAAGACGAGAAAAGATATCATCCCCATCCAACTCAGGCTTTCTCTTAATATGAGTACAATTCAAACCAAAACTGATGCTAAGGAACTGACTGAAGCCCAACCTATTGGCAAGTTTTGGTTTTACTTTCAGTGGCACTTCTCTGCATGCAAGTACCCATTGACCTGCGTGTGCATATTTATTTATTTATGTATTTATTTATGTATTTACTTATTTCAGGTTGTTTCCATGTCTGGCTATTGTAAATAGTGCTGCAGTGAACACTGGGGTGCATGTGTCTTTTTTTTTTCTTTTATTATTGGTTAAAAAAATTTTTTTTAACATCTTTATTGGAGTATAATTGCTTTACAAAGGTGTGTTAGTTTTTGCTTTATAACAAAGTGAATCAGCTGTACATATACATATATCCTCATATCCCCTCCCTCTTGCGGCTCCCTCCCACCCTCCCTATCCCACCCCTCTAGGTGGTCACAAAGCACTGAGCTGATCTCCCTGTACTATGTGGCTGCTTCCCACTAGCTATCTATTTTACGTTTGGTAGTGTATATATGTCCCTGCCTCTCTCTCGCTTTGTCACAGCTTACCCTTCCCCCTCCCCATATCCTCAAGTCCATTCTCTAGTAGGTCTGTGTCTTTATTCCTGTCTTACCCCTAGGTTCTTCATGACATTTTTTTTTCTTAGATTCCATATATATGTGTTAGCATACGGTATTTGTTTTTCTCTTTCTGACTTACTTCACTCTGTATGACAGACTCTAGGTCCATCCACCTCACTACAAATAACTCAATTTCATTTCTTTTTATGGCTGAGTAATATTCCATTGTATATATGTGCCACATCTTCTTTATCCATTCATCAGTCGATGGACACTTAGTTGCTTCCATATCCTGGCTATTGTAAATAGTGCTGCAGTGAACATTGTGGTACATGACTCTCATTGAATTATGGTTTTCTCAGGGTGTATACCCAGCAGTGGGGTTGCTGGGTCATATGGTAGTTCTATTTTTAGTTTTTTAAGGAACCTCCATACTGTTCTCCATAGTGGCTATATCAATTTACATTCCCACCAAAAGTGCAAGACGGTTCCCTTTTCTCCACACCCTCTCCAGCGTTTATTGTTTGTAGATTTTTTGATGATGGCCATTCTGACTAAAGTGAGGTGATACCTCATTGTAATTTTGATTTGCATTTCTCTAATGATTAGTGATGTTGAGCATCCTTTCATGTGTTTGTTGGCAATCTGTATATCTTCTTTGGAGAAATGTCTATTTAGGTCTTCTGCCCATTTTTGGATTGGGTAGTTTGTTTTTTTGAGATTGAGCTGCATGAGCTGCTTGTAAATTTTGGAGATCAATCTTTTTCAGTTGCTTCATTGGCAAATATTTTCTCCAATTTGTTTTGTTTATGGTTTCCTTTGCTGTGCAAAAGCTTTTAAGTTTCATTAGGTCCCATTTGTTTATTTTTATTTCTATTCCTCTAGGAGGTGGGTCAAAAAGGATTTTGCTGTGATTTATGTCACAGAGTGTTCTGCATATGTTTTCCACTAAGAGTTTGATAGTTTCCAGCCTTACATGTGGGTCTTCAATCCATTTTGAGTTTATCTTTGTGTATGGTGTTAGGGAGTGTTCTAATTTCATTAGTTTACATGTAGCTGTCCAGTGTTCCCAGAACCACTTATTAAAGAGTCTGTCTTTTCTCCATTGTATATTCTTGCCTCCTTTATCAAAAATAAGGTGACCATATGTGAGTGGGTTTATCTCTGGGCTTTCTATCCTGTTCCATTGATCTATATTTCTGTTTTTGTGCCAGTACCATACTGTCTTGATTACTGTAGCTTCTTTGTAGTAGAGTCTGAAGTCCGGGAGCCTGATTCCTCCAGCTCCGTTTTTCTTTCTCAAGATTGCTTTGACTATTCGGGGTCTTTTGTGTTTCCATACAAATTGTGAAAGTTTTTGTTCTAGTTCTGTGAAAAATGCCATTGGTAGTTTGATAGGGATTGCATTGAATCTGTAGATTGCTTTGGGTAGTATAGTCATTTTCACAATGTTGATTCTTCCAATCCAAGAACATGGTATATCTTTCCATCTGTTTGTATCACCTTTAATTTCTTTCATCAGTGTCTTATAGGTTTCTGCATACAGGTCTTTTATCTCCTTGGGTAAGTTTATTCGTAGGTATTTTATTCTTTATGTGGCAATGGTAAATGGGAGTGTTTCCTTAATTTCTCTTTCAGATTTTTCATCATTAGTGTATAGGAATGCAAGAGATTTCTGTGCATTAATTTTGTATCCTGCTACTTTACCAAATTCATTGATTAGCTCTAGTAGTTTTCTGGTAGCATCCTTGGGATTCTCTTTGTATAGTATCATGTCATCTGCAAAGAGTGAAAGCTTTACTTCTTCTTTTCCGATTTGGATTCCATTTATTTTTTTTTCTTCTCTGATTGATGTGGGTAAAACTTCCACAACTATGTTGAATAATAGTGGTGAGAGTGGAGAACCTTGTCTTGTTCCTGATCTCAGAAGAAATGGTTTCAGTTTTTCACCATTGAGAAGGATGTTGGCTGTGGGTATGTCATATATGGCCTTTATTATGTTGAGGTAAGTTCCCTTTAGGCCTACATTCTGGAGGGTTTTTTAACATAAATGGGTGTTGAATTTTGTCAAAAGCTTCTGCATCTATTTAGATGATCATATGGTTTTTCTCCTTCAATTTGTTAATATGGTTTATCACATTGACTGATTTGCATATATTGAAGAATCCTTGCATTCCTGGGATAAACCCCACTTGATCATGGTGTATGATCCTTTTAATGTGCTGTTGGATTCTGTTTTCTAGTATTTTGTTGAGGATTTTTGCATCTATGTTCATCAGTGATATTGTCCTGTAGTTTTCTTTCTTTTTTTTTTTTTAACATCTTTGTTGGGGTATAATTGCTTTACAATGGTGTGTTAGTTTCTGCTTTACAACAAAGTGAATCAGTTATACATATACATAT